CTTCACCCGAGGATGCTTTGTGGCAAGTTTGGTTGAAATTGGCCCAGTGGTTCTGGAGAAGAAGTCGAAAATGTGAAAAGTTTACAGATGGACGGACAGACAGACGGACTACAGACAAAATGTGATCAGAAAAGCTCACTTGAGCTTTCAGCTCAGGTGAGCTAAAAAGTATGCGTTTGCAAAGCATGAATCTGTTTTCATATGCAGGGGTAATCATGATTTCTTGAATCTCCATTTTATACTGAAGACATATCCCTTTTTTACTGACTTTTTATATAGTTTCTCTATTTTTTTCCCCATTTAACAGTATATTTGCTTTAATAAAGTCAAAAGAGATTAATAGACAAACATGCACTCATGATTTATAACAGAAAAAAAATTATTCTTCTTACAATGGCTTTCTCTGTTGTAACAAAGAGTTATTACATGTTTTAAAATATATTATAATTCACCATGTGATTTCTTGCCTCAGGTAACTTTGTGAATACACATGTACATGTACTAACTTCCATTACAACTTGTAAGGTGGCATGTTTTGTGCTAGCTGGGACATTGTATTCGAACATGTTAAATTGTCAGGTATTGACTTAAAATCTGATGAACTTCATGGGAATGGCCATATTGTTAATTTCGTTTTGAAACCTTTGTAAAAAGTATCTTGTGCCATCAAAATAGAGAGGGATAAAGGGAAAGATCAGTGATCACACATTTTTTTTTTATACGTGATTGTTATTTATGCTAGTCCAAATTAAGACCCATTCTTACAATGTAAGCTTACTTTTATTAACCTGATGTTTACTCAGGGGCAGGTAAGTGTAAATTCTTAATATTTGGAAAGCAGTAAGGACAAAAAACAGAATTATTCTATTCTATCACAGTCAAAAATCATTTTAACATTTAAATTTGGTTCCAAATTGACAACATACTTTAATAAATAAACGAACTGAAATTAGGTTTAAGCAAAAGAGGTGATGTAAGAAGACCCCCAAAAATGGCATTAAGTTAGTTATGTTTTGAAAGTTATCTCTTCAAAACTTGGTAGAAAGTTCACTGTCCATTATAACCCTGCAAGTACTCTGCTTGTTAGATGTCAAAGAATTTTAAAATAATTATAATTCCTTTTCAATTTTCAACTAACTCCTCCTGTAACCCGGACCCTTGATAATAGGTTTCACGATTTACTCAAGCAATGAATCTGACTGCATGAGAAATGACCCGAAGGAAGAAGTTTAAGAGACTACAATAATATTACCCATTTCAGCCCCACCCCTCAGGCTCCTAAGCAACACAAACCCTGAAATTCTCCAATTATTTTCATCTTTACCATAGAACAGAAAATGATGAAATTCATCACATTGCAAAGATGCTCAAATTGTTCCATAAATTACAATGATGACAGAAGGAAGTAGACAGCAATAGATCATCTACATGACATTAACTAAAATGAGCTTGAAATACAGTCCCTGAAACGGTCTACTTTCCCATTTTTCCGTTCACTCACTGTTTGTTCAGCATGCGTTCACCATTTGTTCAGCATGCGTTCACCGTTCACTCTCCGTTCACAGTTTTGCGTTCTGCATTCACCGTGCGCTCGCGTTCACCGTTCACTGTTCGCTCTCCGTTCGTTCACTTTGCGTTTACCTTGCGTTCAATGTTCACTTATCGTTCAGTGTTCACTGTCATTTGGAACTCTGAAGTGAAAGGACTTATCTTTTTTGTATGTAAGGATTTACAGGATTTGAAATTTAATAATTAACATATTGTGTTTAAAGGATCATTATTTCATGGGGAAAAAAGTATCTACAATAGGTTTTATTATTATTCTAACTTAGCTGTTAGGTTATATATTAAATTACTCTGGAAAATAAATGTTGTTATAAGTATGTACCTATGTATAGAACGATGTTGAAAAATTACATTTAAATACGGCCAATATACGGATAGTTCAAGCACTGCAACATTTTGTTGTTATGTTAAAGACGACAAATCGTTAACGGAGAGATAATAATCCATGTCAATTAATTTACCAACTGCAGCAAAATTATAAAAGTATTTATTACTAACAGTTTTTTTCTTCAATTACTATAGAAATACATATTAGAACTAGTTCTGAGAATTATAAATAGTACTGCATATATCCAGTTAATTAAATATCTTTGGAGCAAATTAAATTGATGGCATGATTAAAAAAAAATATCTATTTAAATGTAATATACTAAAATTCATATATACGAGGGGTTATCAAAAAGTTCGTGGACTGACGCGATAAAATTAATAATATGTAGTCTTTGCTTACAAAATTTATGCGGAACATAAAACAACAAAAGTTTAAGAAATGTTGAAAATTTTAGCTTGATACGTTGATAATTTGCCAAATTATTCTGAAATTAAAAAGACTTTATGTGATCACCCGGCGCTGTCGCCGTTTAGTGTCATGACGTCCGCTTAACGTCATTGTTTCTTAATGTCCGCTCTCTCTACATCATACACTTATCTTGATGAGATTACCTGGAGTTAAGTAAGGACTTAAACCCGTCTTATTTATATGAATTTAAAATGTCATGAGCAGCTGTTTTCAATGCAAATAATATTGTAAATGGATCTTTATATGGGGAAAGATCCTCACTTGATTATGCCAGAATACTTAGCTTGTTGGAGTTCAATTTCTACCACACATGATCAACGTCACTTTTCGACGTGACTGACTTTTGACACCCTGACTACAAATCAACACTAACTGTGCATATTTCATCTCTCTGAATCTTTTTGGGCATTAAAAAACAAGTACTCTGGATGCATTTTATTTTTCTGTAGCCAGGTTTAACATTCCTTAGGTCAATACCAGTTTTTCCAGGAGCGAAACTCTATAGAGTCTTTGAAAAAGAAACCCCTTCTCCTTTTGACGTTATTTTCAAGCCCATAATTGTTTGGATACTCCATATAAAATTTACGATAAAATTTCATAGAAAATACAGAATGGGGTAAAAACTGCTAATTTTACTGAACAAATGTGTCGTACCACGTGCCTGAATTAACGAGATTTTTTGATGACAAATACTCATATCTAAAGAGTTTTTCTCAGTTACACTCAGGTAGAAAAAAACGTCATATTAGAGGTTGCGCCGCCTGGACATACCTTTGCTTACAAAAACATTAACAATTTATTAAAAAATAAAAATTATGATTTATGGTTTATTCTATAGATAGAAAAGATGATGCTAACTTAATGTGTAAAAATTCATTGATGTACCTAAAGCGGTTTTAATTTTATGACGCTAGTCCACGAACTTTTTGATAACCCCTCGTAAAGTCTATCATTAGAGAGAAGAAAAAAAATCCTTCCTTCACAATTACTTTATATGTTTGCCATTCCATTTGCCATGATTAAGACCCCCCCCCCCCTTTCCACCTAAATCGGTTGCATAGTCAGCATTTACAGTATAATTTAATTAATATTTAAAAAGAAGTTAACGCGTTTTGTAGCAAGAAAATTTCAGTCTCAAAACAAACATGCATCTAAAAAAGTCATTAAACAACAGTAGTTCAAAATATACATGTGCCGACGGTGGTATTTTAAGCTGGCCAGGGAGTATGTTTCCAAGTGTTTATGCCCGATATATTTTATTTATTTATCTATTTTTTGGAAAAGTTGGAATCAGATCTAGAAATGATAAAAAAATGTTAAAACTTCTCTGAAATACTACAGTGTAGCACTTCGCCTTTGGTGTGAGGAGACTTTCACACCTACACAGTGTCGAATGATTTTGATTGACAGGACAAACATGTGGACTTCATGTGAACGTCCATGGGAACTTGAAGCAGGAAAATAAAAACCGATTATGACTTTCAAAAAGAATGAATTTGTTGATAAAAAAAAAAGTTTACTTTCACTGCCTGATATATTTAGATAAAAATTAAGAATTATTTTTTATACAGGCACATCTACACGCATTTGTCAAAGGTTGGGGGCTAAAACTGAATTTCTCTTTCTCTCTCTCTCTCTCTCTCATTTATCCGTTTAATCAGAACTATGACACGTATTACTTAAATATCAAGTTCTGAAATTTTAATCTATAACAAATAATATGAATGCTTCTTTGTATCATCTTGCCCAAGTATAATCACGGGGAATTGCCTACAGATACATGTAGAAGTCTGCTTAATAAATCATCATAAAAAATGAAAAGACACATGAATATATTATTGCATTAATTTTTTTTTTTAAATACATGTACGAGTGTATTTATGCAATATGTCCACAGACCTTAGCAAAATTTAAAAAATTTTTTTCTCCTTATTTTAGACGGAATCGGCTTGACATGGAATTACATGTATGTTTGTTACAACCGTTGTAATTCATTCTATAAATCAGTAATATCCACTTTAAAAATCCTTATTTGTAATGTTTTCATATATCAAATAAGAATAAACATATTTATTTTACAACAAGAATAATTTCATCTTTTAAACTCCAGCATTCGGTAACAATGACAATGTTTTAAAGCGATAAAAATCGCGTCATTAAACAGCTGAATTTAAACATCATATATATGTGCAGAAAATATTGTAAGAAACTTAATTAATAGTTTTACTTAATGTGCATGTTTCATCTTTCTTGGGACAATTTTTGAATATTTATTTATTTATTTTTGCGCCTGACATTAAATACAATAGAATAGATACAATGCATGGAAAAGATCAGAGGCATTCCGAATAAATCGTTCATCTTGCGTTCACCGTTCATTCACCGTTCACTTTGCGCTCGCGTTCTGCGTTTGTTCACCGATCACATACCGTTCACCAAGTTGCGTTCAGCGTTCACACATCGTTCACTCACCGTTCACTCTCCGTTCGCTCACTGTTCGCTCTGCGTTCAAGTGGGAAAGTAGAATGTTTCAGGGACTGTACATGCATCGGTAAGTTTTCCTGATTTGTTTCTATCTTTACATTTACTAGCACACACTTTTTCAGAATAAAAGCTCACAAATATGCATACTTACTTTAATACAGACAGTCTTTGAGAGACATTCTATTTCATTTTCACCTTCAAGGAGTTCACATTCCTTATCTCCTGTTAAAATGGCAGCCTGGAAAAAAAACTAGCATAATAATTATTGGTATTACATGTATTGGGGAATCATCGTGCCTGTTCATTTATCTGTAAAGCTGTGGACATAAGAACATGCATTGAATGTATGTACCTCTGCTGGGAGATAACAACTCAATTTTGACAGAAGCATAGACAGTGTCTAACCTGTTTTGCTGCTCCAATGGCTATCACTTCATCTGGTGGGATTGAATTCAATATCTCTGCATTATTTAGATAGTCTGAGATTGCCTTTTGTATTAATGGAGGTTTAGCACCACCACCACAAATAATGACCTAAAATTTACAAGAATTTTAGACATCTTTAATATAACAGATAACGTGCATCAAAGTTCTTATGATTAATTAATGATTAAGATTAATTTTGTGGAAGTTCTAAAGAAAAATAAATTTTGAATAATTTACTCCCATATATATTCCAATGAAAACTTTTTATTACCATCATGGGGGGGGGGGGGGGGGGGCTGATTCAAATTTCTAATATGTCTCATATTTATATGAACAATAGGTACCTTGCTGTTCTTGAGAAGATTTAAGATTTTTCCCTTTTTATCCTCATGTAAAACTTTAATCCCTTATTAAATGCAGGGGCCAAGATTTGAAATAATTTGATTCTGCACTACCTCAGAATGCTTTCATATAAATATCATTGATCATGACTCTGCTTTTGAGAAGTTTTTAAAACTTTTTTCCTATACATTTCTTGGTAAAATTTTATGCCTTGTAGCCCCAACCTAGCTCTAGTGGCCATGACTTTAAAAATTGATTCTGCACTTCCTGAGATGCTTGCATTTTAATACAACTAATCATGACCTTGTTATTTTTTTTTTTTTTTTTTTGAAGATTTTATTATTTATTTATTCCTATGTAAAACTTTGATCATCTATTTTGACCCAATTCACTCTACCTACCAGAGCACTGATTTGAACAAACTTGAAACATTACTGAAGGATGCTTCCCCTTCACCCCAAAATATGCTTTGTGACAAGTTTGGTTGAAACTGGCCCTGTGTATCTGGAGAAGTTGAAAATGTTAAAATTTACAGACTGACAAACAGATGGATGCTAGACAAAATGTGATCAAAAAAAGCAGCTTGAGCCTTCAGCTCAAGTCAACTAAAAATGTGGTTTTCAAAAATTAGTGAATAAAAGATTGTGGCAAAGGTCTCAAAATATGAATACTCCTAAAATAAGTACATACATCTTACTATATTCAATTATCTGTGTCAATACTATTCAAAGACAGCAGCAGTTGATACAGTAAAAATTTTCTAATCCAGATATTGCTGGTTCAATAGAAATTGGTTGGATTAAACAGTACTGTAAACCAACTTTTATTCGCGTGCAAGAAATTTTCGCAAGTTTTGCGACCTACATTAACTCGCGAATATTAATCACCAAGAACCATTTATTTTGCTTTATATTTGTATAGAATAATTCCTCAGTCGCGAAAATTAACCACCATGGATTTATTTCAATCTGATGAATCGCGAATAAAAGATGACGCAAATAATAGCTGGTTTACAGTATTCCAAATTAGACAAAATTTTAAAAAAGAATTTACTGAAAGGAACTAAATGTTTACATCATAATAGGCATGATTTCAGAACATGCAACATCCACATTAGACAAGCTTTACTGTACCCAGAAATATGATCTTTATCACTCTGCTTGCCAAGCTATGTAAAATAAAAATTGTAAGGAGGGGGTCCAGGGGCTGCTTAGACACTTGCTAGAGATTTTGTTCTTGTACCCCCCTAATCGAAGATTCAGGGGCATATAGTTTTTGCCCTGTCTGTCCATCTGTCTGTTAGTCTGTTTGTTCCCAAAAAATTTACATTGCCAATAACTTTGATTGGTTGGAGCTATGGCTTTCATATTTCACATGTGTATTCCTTGTGACAATACCTTTTTGAGGGTACCATCATACTTGACCTTTTGATCTTGACCTTCGAGTTTGACCTAGTTTTGCAAATTTTTACCCACCTTTAACCTTGGCCATAACTTTTGAATAATTGGAGCTAAAGCTTTCATACTTCACATATGAAATCCTTGTGACAAGACCTAACTTTGGATACCAACAACTTTGACCCTTTGACTTTGACCTTGGAGTTTGACCTACTTTTGGAAAACTTTTACCTTGGCCATAACTTTTGAACAGTTGGAGCAAGGGCTTACATACTTCACATGTGTATTCCTTGTGACAAGACCTTCCTTTGGATACTAAAAATTATAGTCCATTGACCTTGACCTTGGAGTTTGACCTATTTTTGGAAAACTTTAACCTTCGCCATTACTTATGAATAGTTGGTTCTAGGACTTTCATACTTCACATATGTAATCCTTGTGACAAGACCTTACTTTGGATACCAACAACTTTTACCCTTTGATCTTGACCTTGAAGTTTGACCTAGTTTTGAAAAACTTTAATCTTGGCCATAACTTTTGAATAGTTGGTGCTAGTGCTTTCATATTTCACATGTGTATTTCTTGTGAGAAGGTCTTTCCTTGGGCACCATTAATTTTGACCAATTGACCATCACCTTGATGTTTGATTTACTTTTAAAAAACTTTAACCTTTTCCATTTATATTCAATGGTTTCTGCTAGGGCTTTCTAATTTCACAGGTATATTCCTCGAGACAAGACCTTACTTTGGGTACCAATATATTTGATATGCAGTTGAGAAAGTTCAATCTTGGCTGTACGTTGCCATACATCAGTGTTTCACAAACACATCTTGTTATTTAACGTCCCTCTCGAGAATTTTCACTTATATGGGGACACCACCACTTGCCAGTGGAGGGCTGCAAATTAAGTCCTATACTCGGCACCAGTGTTCCCACTGAAGTTAAAATATTTTTTGCCACTTTTCACGATGAAAGGAATTGCATTCTTACATTTCATGTCTCATGACAAGTATATATGCTATACACTCCTCTAAGAGCATTATTTCAATTTGATTTTATCATAGACATTGTTTTAAATTTGTAAAGTTTAAAGTTGTACATGTATCCACTTAAAAACTAATAGAGAAGTATTTCTACATTTATACAACTAATTTGATATTGATATTGGCCAATCCTGACAGTAGATGTCCTCTTGTTCATGACAATTTTTTTTTAGCCTGGGAAGGGTCTATAACAATCTATATAAATCCAGATTTTATTGATTAAAATCTTTTATTAACTAACTTTATCTCTAAAAAAACACCATCTCCCCTTGTATAATCCATCATATTATTTCAAGTAATTTTGTATCCCCTTACTGCTCCAGGCTAAAGTTACATGATTGTGTGAATTCAAGCGAGACATGATTTGTTTGTATGTTTCATTATTCACACCCTGAATTCACACCTTTTCTTGCATTAAATAAACAAAGGGGCTAATCTGTAAACATTGAATACACAAAGGAGCTAACCAGGAGTATACACACTTTTGTATGGAAGATCTTTAAAAATTTCATTTTCTGCACTTTTGAATTTCTTTTCGCCAATTCCGAAAAAAAAATTCACAACTGGCGCAAATAGCGCATCACAGCTCGAGCACTGCTCAGCACTCATGGATCAGTGATGGATCTTTTGCGTGCTAGCACCTACTGTCACATGGGACCTCGGTTTATGGCCTCATCCAAAAGACCAGTCTCCATGTCCTGCAGTGGGATTTGAACCTGCAACTTAAGGATCAAGTCCTTACTCCGCAACTCTTGAGCAGATGCTCTAACCACTGTGTCATGTGGGCAACCAGTTGCTGAAGATTTTTTTTTGTGAATAATCTTTATCATAGGTGAAAAGCAAAGGGTAATAACTTCTTTCAGTAGAAATACAAATTAATAAATTAACCAAGTGGTACAGAATTTCAAAATCTGGTTAAAAACACCCTTGCTTATTACAACTTTATATGCTCTGTTTTCTTCCTAGATACCAAGGAGCAGAGAAAAAGATTTTCAAAGAAGCAATCCATTTTCACTATAGATTTAATATAGCCCCACCCTTATACCAGAGCCCCTGACCATCGGGCAGAAATTCACAATTCTGGAAGAAGCACCCTTGCTTACAGTCCCTGAAACGTTCTACTTTACCATTTTTCCGTGCGCTCACCGTTCATTCAGCGTGCATTCACCGTTTGCACTCCATTCACAGTTTTGCGTTCAGCGTTCACCATGCGCTCACGTTCACCGTTCACAAAGCGTTCAACGTTCGCTCTTCATTCGTTCACCTTGCATTCACCTTGTGTTCAGTGTTCACTTATCGTTCAATCTTCACTGTCATTCAAAATTCCAAAGTGAAAGGACTTATCTTTTTGTACAGTGTAAGTAAGGATTTACAGCTTTAGCAATTTAATAAAATAACATACCATGTTTAAAGAATCATGGGAAAAATTATCTACAATACAATATATTTCTTTTTTATTATTGTAACTTAGCTTTTAGGTTATTTATTAATTTACTCTGGAAAATAAATGTTGTTATAAGTATGTACCTATGTAGAATGATGCTGAAAAATTAAATTTAAATACAGGCAATATACAGATACTTCAAGCATTGCAACATGCATTTTGTTGTTATGTCAAAGACGACAAATCATTAATGGAGAGATAATAATAAGTCTATTAATTTACCAACTACAGCAAAATTATGAAAATATTTATTTCTACCACTTTTTTTCAATTACTATAGAAATAAATATTAGAACTAGTTCTGAGAATTTTAAATAGTACTGCGGATATCCAGTTAATTAAATATCTTTGGAGCAAATAAAATTAATAGTGTGGTTTAAACAGACCTGTTTACCCATAGTGTCGTCTCTCAGTATTTTCTATGAGATTTGTCAGTGAGATTTGGCATTTGCCCGTTAGATTTTACTTTCCATCGATTTTACATATATTACTAGAGAAACCACCGCGTTTTGGCAACCCGACATCACTTAAGTGTTTGAAATCTTTTTTTTTAGTGATTAAAAAGCGTCAAACTGAGACAGATCATAACGAAAACTAACTGCTAAAATCCAAACGAACGGATTACGGATTTCTGTATTTTCATTAAAGCAAAATGTGAGACATATTTAGGACTCAAAAATCCGTACAAAATATGTGAAATCGTAAGAGTAAACAGGTCTGTTTAAAAAAAAATATTTAAAAATATAATACACTGATAGATTTTTTTTCTCTACTTTAAATATATACCGGTATAAAGTCTATGGTTAGAGAGAAAAAAAATTCCTTCCTTCAAAATCACCGTAACTTTGTATGTTTGAAATGTGATATGTTTAAGAGCCCTCCCCCTTTTCTTCCCTTAATCCGTTAATCAGTCAGTATTTCCAGTACATTTTAATTAGCATTTAAAAAGAAGTTAATGTGTTTTTTAGCACAAAAATTTCAGTCTCAAAACATACATGCATCTAAAAAAGTCAAAATACAATTGTATTTCAAAATATACACGTACCGGTGATGGTATTTTAAAATTGCAGGGAGTATGTTTCACATTCACGTTGCTGAATCATTACAAGTGTTTATTCCCATGGGTCTATGTATTTTATTTATTTAGAAAACTAGAAATGATAAAAAAATTGTTAAAACTTCTTGGAAATACTTCATCTACATTGTGATGAGACTTTCAAACCTGCACAGTGTCAATGATTTTGATTGACAGGACAAGCACATGGACTTCATAAGAACGTGAAGCAGGAAAATAGATCTAAAAACCAATTATGACTGTTAAAGAAATGGATTTGTTGATAAAAAAAAAAAAAAAAAGGTTACTTTCACTGCCTGATATATTTAGAAAAAAATAAGAATTTTTGTTTGATACAGGTACAAACATTTGGAGAAGAGGGGGGAGGCTAGAAGGGAATTTCTCTCTCTCTCTCTCTCTCATTTGTCTGTTTGATAAATCATGACAGCATATTACTTTTATTCATGTATCAAGTTCTGCAAATTTAATCCATATCAAATAATATGAATGCCTCTTTCTATCATCTTGTCCAAGTATGATCACTGGGAAATGTCTACAGATACAGGTAGAAGTCTGCTCAATAAATCATCATAAACAAGAGGCCCAAGGGCCTTGAATCGCTCTTCTGATAAACTGTACAACCTATCACTTCTATTTGAAGCCTCTAAGTATCCTGTATATTTAGATAAACCCTTGAAATTCCAAAGGTAAGTCATCATGACCTAAATTTTAGATGAAACACTCTGAGAACCCAAGATGATTCTAAGCCAATTAGTACCTGAGAGTAGGTCATCCTGACCTACCCTATCACTTTTCATTCTCTGAGGACCAAAGATGCATCAACTAAGTTTGATAATTCTAAGCCAATACCTAAAATATTTTTAAAATTATGACCATAAAATTTCAAAAGTAGGTCACAGTGACCTACTTTTCACATGACAGACTTTGAGGACCCAAGATGCATCAAATGACAGTTTGGTGATTCTAAGCCAATTAGTACCTACAAATATTTAAATAAAGCCATACAATTTCAAAAATAGGTCAGGGTGACCTACTTTTCAGTTGTTGTACTCCTAGGACTCAAGATGCATCAACTGACAAAGTCTGATGATTCTAAGCCAATTAGTACCTGAAATATCTAATTAAAGCTATAAATTTTCAAAAGTAGGTCATGGTGACCTACTTTTCAGTTGTTGTACTCCAAGGACCCAAGATGCATCAACTGACAAAGTTTGATGATTCTAAGCCAATTAGTACCTGAAATATTTAATTAAAGCCATAAATTTTCAATAGTAGGTCATGGTGACCTACTTTTCAGTCGACCTACTTTGAGGACCCAAGATACATCAACTGACAAATTCTGATGATCGTAAACCAAATAGTACCCAAAAAATATTAAAATACAGCCATAAAATTTCAAAAGTAGGTCAAGGTGACCTGCTTTTCAGTTGTCGTACTCCAAGGACCAAGATGCATCAACTAACAAAGTTTGAAGATTCTAAGCCAATTAGTACCCAAAATATTTAATTATAGTCATATAAATTGAAAAGTAGGTCATGCTGACCTACTTTTCAGTCGACTTACTCCGAAAACATAAGATGCATCAACTGACAGTTTGATGATTCTAAGCCAGTTAGTACCTGAAATATTTAACTGTAGTCATATAAATTGAAAAGTAGGTCACGGTGACCTACTTTTCAGTCGACCTACTCTGAGGACCCAAGATACATCAACTGACAAATTTTGATGATTCTAAGCCAATTAGTACCCTAAATATTTAAATATAACCATAAAATTTCAAAAATTTCAGTTGACATTTTTCGAGTACCCAAGATGCATCAACTTATGAAGTTTTATGATCATAGGCCTTAAAATGTCCAAATTATGCCTCTAAAACGCTTTGAAATCTAATGCCTGCAAAGTTCAAAAAGTAGGTCACTGTGACCTACTTTTTAATAAATATGTTTTATGGCCCCAAGATGCATCATCTTACAAGATTTAATGATTCTAAACCTCTCAGTATTCAAATTAATGACCTTAGTTGTTTTGAAAAAGATTAGCCATAAAATTCATAGAGTAGGTTAAGGTGACCTACTTTTTAGTTGATGTACTCCGAGGACCCAAGATACATCAACTGACAAAGTTTGATGATCATAGGCCTTAAATTGTCAAAATATGCCCTAAATCATTTTGAAAAAGAATGGCCGCAAAATTTAAAAAGTAGGTCACCATGACCTACATTTGAGTCAACATGATATGAGGTCCTTAGATGCATCAACTGACAAGATTTGATGATCCTAGTCCCTATAGTAAGCAAAATATCAACATTAATTTTAATAAAATGTCATTTTCGGTCAACTTTGAAGTGACTTTGAGACCACGCCCTTTGCCCAAGGGCAATTCCCCATGCAAATTTTAATCTACAACATATCCTCATCCTTTTGTGTAAGTTTGGTGATAATCTGCCCAGTGGTTCTTGAGAAGAAGATTTTTTAGCAACCAGTACTTTTGTTTCTATTTTCCTAATTATCTCCCCTTGTTTAAGGGTCACAACCCTAGTTTTAGTATAAGCAGGAGCCCTTGGGCCAAGGATACCCTGTGACAAATTTGACAATAATTGGCCAAGGGGTTCTTGAGTTATGGCCCATATTCTAAAAAGTTTACGCACCACACAACGCACAAATGGCCATAGCATTAGCTCTTGTAAAAATATTCTATAAATATATGTTCCTTATAATTAAACACTTGAGCATTTGGCTCAGAAGAGATAAAAATAGAAATGACACATAAATATATTTTATTGCATTAAAATTTTGAAATGTGAGTATTAATGCAATACGTCCAAGGACCTTTGTAAAATATTTTAATTTTTTTTCTCGTTATTTTACACGGAATCGCCTTGGCACAGAAATACATGCATGATTGTTTCAACTGTTGTAATTCATTCTATAAGTCAGTAGTTTTCCCTTAAAATCCACATTATTTGTAATGATTTTATATATCAGATAAGAATAAACATATATTCTTTACAATTAGAATAATTTTATCTTTTATACTACAGTGTTCGGTAACAATTACAATGTTTTACAGCGATAAAAATTGTGTGATTAAAAACGTTTTAACCTCATACATATGTGCAGAAAATATTGTAAGAAACTCAAATTAATAGTTTTACTTAATATGCATGTATCGTCTTTCTTATGCCAATTTTGGAACATTTATTTTATTTATTTATTTATTAATTGATTTGTTTATTTATTTATTTTTTGTCACCTGACATTAGAATACAGTACAATAGTTTCAATGCAAGGAAAAGAACAGAGGCATTCCGAATAAATCGTTCATCTTGCGTTCACCGTTCGTTCACCATTTACTTTGCGCTTGCGTTTGCACTCCATTTGCTTTCTGCGTTCGTTCACCAAGTTGCGTTCAGCGTTCACACATCGTTCACTCACCGTTCATTCAGCATTCGCTCAACGTTCAAGTGGAAAAGTAGAACATTTGAAGGACTGTATCAAATACATAGTGTATTTTTACTAAACATTCAAAAGAGTCCCACCCTAACATCAAAACCCCTGACCTTGGGATTACGAATTTCAAAGTTTTGTAAAGACATCTTTGCTCATCATAACCATGCAAATAGTTTTTATCTGTTAAATACCCAGGGAGAGAATTTTAAAAAAAAAATGCCTTTCACTATATATTAAATAGCCCCCCCCCCCCCCACACACACATGAACCCCTGACCCTAAGGCCACAGATTTCACAATTTTGGAAGACGCACTGTTAATCATCATAACCATGCATAGTTTATCTGTTTTAAATACAGGGAGAGAGAAGAATATTCAATCAATGCATTTTCACTATATGATAAATAGAGCAGCATCCTAACACCAGAACTGCTAATCAAGGGGGCATTAAATTCAAAATTTTTGAAGAGGTGCCCTTGCTCATCAAAACCAAATTATTGGTTTATCTGGTAAATACATAGGAGAAGAGAAGATTTTCAAAGAAATAATCCATTTTCACTACATAAACAAGAGCCCCCCCCCCCCCCCCCCGACCCTGGGGCCACTAATTTTGCAATTTTGGAAGACACACTCTTGATCATTATAACCATGCACCTAGTTTACCTGCTTTATATCCTAGGGGAGAGATGTGCCATGCCAAAATTATTTCAACAAAAACAGATAGCAATAGGTCACCTGAGTGACCAAGGTGACCTAACAATTAGAATAAATAGAGATATTATAAGTCACATTTCTGAAGCTCAACCTATATGTCTTAATCCCAAATCTTGAAGGTTGGCTGCTCTGTGCTTGTATTCCAAATTCAATAATGTTCTTTGAATTAAGGATATTTCTTTGCATACTCTAAGTATTTTGTCTCCACATCTTTGAAACCATTTTTTTAAATCAGTATTTTTGTTAATTCAAATTTTCATACCTCAAATTCTTACTGATACCAGTCTTATAAATTTTTATACCTTATCTATATCTGATGAATTGACACAGGATTTGGCAAAAACATCTTCTATGAGTGCTATACACTTCTGTACTAGACCTCCACACATGCTCTCAAATCGGGCTCTGCAAGAAAACACTAAAATAAATACAGATTTAATGGTTCTTGTATAGAATACATGTACCTAGTGAAATAGATCATGAATATCTTAATTCTTAGACTAAAATTGTTATGTCTCTGTTATTTGTTTAATTTTAATTTATAAGGCTAAAACGGGTGAAATAACAGCTGAGAAAGTTCTTGAAATAATCCACATGATATGGACACTTAAGGGGATGCTTTGTCTGAATTCAATGTAGTTTAGTAGAAAATTTGTAAACTAGAACTGTCCAAAAGGGACAAATACCCCCCGCTGGGTTTTTCAGAGAAAGTACCAAATCACTAATGTTTTCTAGATGTGAGAGGTGTTCACAATTTGCTTAAACATTTACAGTGAAAATTTAATTACTCATTATATTTTTTTATATGCCCGTCTTAAGACGGGACATATTATGTTACAGCGTTCATGTCCGTCCGTCTGTCTGTTAGCTTTTCATGTCCGGCTCATAACTTTAATACTATTAGGCCTAGAATTATCAAACTTTTTCAGCTGATACATCTAGGGTAGAAGGTGTGTTGCACATTAAAACCAGGTCGCTCTGATCTTTAATCAAGACGCTATGGCCAAATATGGAAAAATCATAACTAGAAAACTATTAGACTTAGAATCAAAAAACTATGTCTTTTAACTTTTAAATTACACAATCCCAAAAGATGTCAGAGTATTGCAGTATCTTTATTAAAAAAGTGTTAAATCAAGAAAATACTAGTCTTATTTTTTTTCATTATGTTCTTTACAGCAATCTGTAACAAGAAAAATTCCACCTCTCCCATGGGTGTAATGATCAGGCACTGGTCAATGAAAATTTTGATAGCAGAAAATTGCATGTCAAATTAGAGATAAATTAATGAGTTTAGTGTGAGGAGATAACTAGTAGAGCATCTCTGATCAAGCAGGTGTTATCTACATCTCTTGGGAATTGGGCAAAAGGAATCAGTCTCTTAATTAATTGCTTGTGTTGTACTGAATTGTTCTTGTTGGCTAGTCTTACTTTCACGATAAATTTGATGTAATTAAAACTAATTTGATATTGTATATAATAATTAAAACTTATATGATATTGTATAATATAATTTAAACTAACTGTACATTTTTTATTTTAATTTTTATATCTTTACAACAAATTGCAGACTGCCTTGTCTCGCTAAGATGTCATTCGAACAAATGAATTTAAACTATTTATGATAATTTAACAATATTTGATGGGTGTATCATGCTGTGGTGGGGCACTTTATTTAATGAATGAAACTAAGGTGCAGCCTAATAAAACATCAATACTAATAATTACAGTGTTTTTATTACATTGAAAAATAGTTTGCAACTATCTGCCATCTTTGTGAGACATGACACTCTGCAAATTGATTTTTTTAAAAAAAATATCATAATTAATTATACAAAATCAAATTGATTTTAATACCTTTATATCAAACTCATTTTAAAAATAAAAGGTTGGTTCCAGTAACTATGTATTTTGACAGACATAAATTACAATTAAGAGACTTAGACAACAGATCATCTTTATTTCTTTCTGCCGAATTCCCCAGAGATATAGATAAGACCTGCTTGATCAGAGATGCCCTAACAGCTTCCCACACTGAACTCATTAATTAATCTTTAACTGGATGCATGTCCACTCATTACTCCCAAGGGACAAATGGATTTACACTATCTGCAGTGTAATGTAAAAACTGTTTTTAATACTTTGTGATTTTTTTTTAGTTCTAATGAGTGGTTTTAAGCTGTAGTTTACATTTTAGTACAGATGTTTTAGATTCTATGTCTCAAACCTTAGACATGAACCCGAAATGACTAAGTCAATAAAAATAAAAAAAAAACACCTGTAAAATGCAGAAAAATTATCAAATAATGTTGAATATACCAGGTACACATCTTCATATGGTAAATAATAAGTGTACAAATTTTCATACAAATCTATGCAATAGTCTCTGGGAACAGATCCGGACAAAACCACATAATAAAAATAAAAAAAACACCTGTACAATGCAAAAGAATTATCCAATCAGAATGAAAATACCAGGTGCACACCTTCATATGGTGAATAATAAGTGTACAAATTTTCAGACAAATCCTTGCAACAGTTTTCAAGAAATGGTCCGGACAAAATGTCGTCTACAGACAGACAGACAGACAGACAGACAGACGGACATGCTGATTCCAATATACCCCCCTAAACTTCGTTTGCGGGGGGTATAAAAATACCCTTTAAAAAAAAGAAGAGAAATATATCTAAGCTTTCATATTTTCTATCCCTAATATTTCTTTTAAATCTTAAATTGGGAAAAAAAGCATACATATTTTTTTTACATTACATTAATACATGTACCAGTAAAGAGGCATTCAGGTGATACCTGGATACACTGCTGTGAAAGTCCACTCCCTCATGCAATGAATCTATAGAGACCTGGGCATTCTCTAATGTAGACAGAGTGTGTTTACATATTTCTGTGGCCATTCTTAGTTTGTTTAAGGACCTCCGACTTTCTTTGATATCCAACTTATATTTTCTGTAAATAAAAAAAATAAATTCTTAAATCTGATTTATCATTGTAATATCCTCTGTTGGGAGTGGAAATGAATATTCAAAATATTGTACAGTGCAGGAAACTGATTTTATTACAGCATTAATGCTGATTTCTCTTAATCCTTTGCTTGCTAAATTTAATGCTTCCTTTGCTTGCTGATTTCATGCTACACAGCTAGGTTAAGGACATCCATAGGAAATACGCCCTAAATGAATACAGTGTTGATATATTTTTAAACAACGTGAGTTTTGATAAATGGGGATCCTACGATTTGCAAATGCATATGTGTCTGTTCTGAGTCTGGCCAAAGCGACTTTACTTACATCAGCTGTTTGTCACATGACATGTTCAGAATTAGAAACAAGAGGCCCTAGGGCCTTAACGGTCACCTGAGTACAATACAACAATTAAGAGGATCCATAAACTGATAAATGAAGCTTTATTGCCCAAAAGCAAGAAAAATGGTATGATCTGAATTAACAAAATAATTTGTCTAGTACCTATCTGTCTCCCATTTTTCACTATTACCATGCAGACTATTAACAACTGTCTATGTTTTAACCCCGTATTATTACTTCTCACACTGGCCTCTCTTGGCCTTTGAAGAACAATTAGGGTGAGTTAACCATGCATCGGACACATACCTTGCTTCGGACAACTTTGAGCAACAAACTCTCATTGAACCTGAGTCTCCCCGTGTTTTGACTTGTTTCTTTCTTAAAGATGAAGAATTAAACCTTTTAATGATGTTGATTTTTATTTTCATGTTGTGATAAAAATACCACAGAATGGCCTTGAAATTACGTCATATTTTGAATCATCAAAGGGGAGTAACCAGAATTTTACGATTTTGCAATTTTTAGAGTTGTCGTTCTTTTAAATGGACGTCGACGGAACGGGTCGGACCTTGGTAAAATTTGCCAATGATTGATAATATTACAGAAATTCAGAGAAGAAGCTAAAAATGTTGAAATGTTAACGCACATCGCACGACGCCAGACAAAAACGAATAGCAATAGGTCACTTGAGTGAATCGTGACCTAAAAATACGTATGGATACAAAGATTGTAAAAGTTCAGCAATATACGGATATCTTATCAATATGAAATTGATTGATTTCTTTGAGACAAATTCCTTAATGTAAAAAGTGCAGGGAGCAACTTCCTCATGCCCGGGAATTATGTAAAATTTAGCAGTCTTTCAATAAAATTCCTACATTGACATAATACACAATGAAATAATATTATATTATGGAAGAATTAAAGCAACAGCACACAACCAGCTCCCAGCACTTTTCAAAATAGTAGGGATAATAGCTACATGTGTTTAAAAACTCGAGGGTCTGTGCGTGTCATTCTAGTATGTTACTGTATAAATGTGCCTTACTGCGACTTTACGAGGTATGTACATTTTCAATTTAATAGCTTGATCTACGGCTCAAGTATATTTTCAATTTAATTGCACTATAAAATATTGATTAATACATTCAAGAATATGTCTCCCTTTCGGTCAGATCATGCTTGTTTTATTTTAAATTTCATATTTACAGGATCCAGTTGATCAAGGTGGCTTTAATTCTACATTCAAATAGTGTTTTATGGCAAGATAAGTTACTCATCGATTTATGCTTAATTACATTATTTATGAGAAAAGACTATTTGAGTGTGTATGAAAAAGAATATTAGATCTAGTATTTATTTGCTGAGCTTCATTTCTATAGTTTTAATGTGACATCATAATCGTTTTCCAGAACCCCTGCAAAGGCAAGTATGCAGGCCTCTACGTGGTCTCTTAAATTTAGGCGCTAGCTGGCACTTTATCAAAAATATTTAGTCACCAATACAAATTTTTTGTCACCAGGCAATTTTTCTAAGGCGCCAACTTTAAAAGTTAATAGAATATAGGGACCCATGACATGCCTAAGAAAATATGACATGTCCATTGCTAAAAATAATTTCCTCTTCTTTTAAAATTCTTTTCACTTTTTCAGAAAAATTGTTAAAAATGTGAAAATTTCTAATTACCAAGTCAATTTAAAATGGTCGCCAATTTGGTTACTTATGGAAAAAATTCAGGCGCCAATCAAAAATTTTAGCCGCCATGGCGACTAAATTAGTCGCCAATTAGAGCCTTGGTATGGGATTCCTAAACCTAGCTGGTAGTTATCATTATCCTGATCCTTATCCTGATACTATTTTGATTGTTTTTATTTTGCCTGCTGAGCTGGGTAACACTCTATCACTCTACCCACATAAGGCTACATGTTTAAAGTTAATTCTACATTTAACATCACCCTCGTGCATAGGTTTAGGAGAAATCCGTTTTTGAAAAAAAACAAACAATTAAGAATTTCAAATATCCATCCCTGTTTGGTTCTACATTTAGCGACTCAATTCTGCATCTTATAGTGAAAGAAAATGTGCTTTGTTACTGCAGTTGGTGTCTTATAAGAAGAAAACTGGTGAATAAAACAGTATAAGATCATAAATGCAAGTAAAAGTTAGATGATTTCATGATTGGGGTTAATGACAGTCTCCTCTGATTAGTTCTTTATCAGTCTTCAGATTACAGACTCTCAGTTCGTGATTATTTTGGCTGTACTATTCACTGTTTTTGAAGAGAATTTCAAAGCTTTTACTTTTGTGTTGCATCATTTAAATTTATTTTATAGTTTCATCTTAAAATATTCCTGTAAAAGTTGAAGGAATAGTAAATTGATTTATTCATAACATATAGTATTCATGTACCTACAAATGGCTACAGTTTTAAGGAAAATAATACTAGTCATTGACATTAGAGCAGGGAAAAGTTTACAGAAGGTGGGACCTTTCAAGTGATAGAGAGTAAGGAAGGAAATTGGTGCATTCCAAGGAGTGAGGTATCCTGTCATGTGTGTGGAAATCAAGGTAAAATAATCTAACAGCTAAAACGGTACATGAAACAAATACTGTATTTAAACTTTCAAAACCAAATGCTAACACTATGAGAAAAAAAAATACATCACAGTTCAATTTCAAGATATTTCAATAAAGAATGTATCAAATATTATCATACCATACCGGTATTTTTGAAACGATACAATGTTTTTAACAATACCGTACTATACCTTGATGAATGAGAAAGATGGTTTATTTTAAAACAAATGTGCTTTCACTAATCACCAACCCTTCAATGTTATGATCTAAAATGAGCTTATAAACTATGTTTACATTTCAACCTTTTAATAAATGATCAACAAAACAAATAAATTGAATCTCAAACAAAGAAATTTGACTATTGATACATAATCACAAATGGGCTGACTGCTTCAATCGGTTGCCAGGGCCCGTTTTGTTTGGCCGCACTAAACGATGAAACATTAGAAAATGGATAGAGATGAACATCACATTTTTACGACATTTTTCCTTTTTAAATTAAAGTTATTACCAGTTTTATATTAATAAAATTAATGTGAATGTATTTTAATTCTTTTTAAATATACCTATTAATTTACCTAAAATATCGGCAGTCAAAAGCAAGTACAGTCAAACCTGTTTTAAGAGTCCACCTTTGGGAAGTTTGGAAACTGGCCACTTAAGGAAGAGATTGCAAGGGTACATGAAAAAAATCCGCTCTATGAATTTTTCTCATTTTTACATATAATTTGCCTTACGTTAATGGTATCATAACATGAAAATTTCAACCATGGTCATCAGGGTTATAAGAAAGATATGGTTGCCATGGTAACCACCGTTTTTCAATATTTTGATATTTATGTAGTGAAATTTTAAGTATGCCATACAGGTATCAAAATAAAAATTGTATCGGAAACTATTGATAAGTGTACTAATGCCACAGTTGCTTTGGGGAGTAGTCATTATAAATTTGCAGTAATATTTTCGCCCCAAGAGCAGTTTTCAACGTCTTGACAAAAAATTGCCCAATGAATTTTCCTAAAATTAATATATTTTGTAACAATTATTATAAGTGACTTATGGTTAAAATATGAAGTGGGATCATCACATTCTTTTTTAAGCTACATGCATTTCAATACCCCCCCCCCCCCCTTTCTAAAATATTAAAAGATTTCATAAATTTTAATCTGATGGTTTGTTGCTGAACCTTTAATATGCATAATCTGTTAAAAAATTATAGAAAATACATATAGATTAATAAATATTTTTTCCTGAAAATCTTGTGTTGGTTGCTCATTTTATACGTAGAGCAGAATGATAGCAGAATGATATAAGTATCATGTACACAAAAACAACAATATGCATATTTTTTTTTATTTTCCCATCCCCAAAATATTCATTCCGTTATTATATCAATACAAGTATATACATTCTAAACCAGTGCACAGTGGTCTAAGGGCCAAATTGTTCATGCTCTGAACACTCATCGAGTTCTCTGCACTGTGACTTGGTATCGGAAAGGCCGGGGGGAGCAGTCACTTGAACACATTGAATGAATAGGTTATTTCAGAGAACTTGTACCTGCAATATATCGTATATAAAAATCCTAGCTATTATCTTATTTGACAAATTTTAGTGATTTGCTATTTAATATTTACATTTGCACATATTTTTCCTTCAGATTCATTGCAAGTTAGAAAACAATTCATTTTCTCATGAACTAGGTAAGCCTACATATCTCCATTGTGACGTCATAATGTCACACTTGACGTCAAAACTATAGTGCAAACTGTTTTGTTTCAAAAATAATCGTAGAATGACATTTATAAATTTGCGCTTCATGCTCACGCGGTTCATGAAATATGCTGAGGTGAAGCGTCTTTGTTCATGTCCTCTTGAATTTTAAAAAAATTAATTCATTTTTCAAATATATTCCCGTGAGCATGATGAGTTGAAAATTTTTTTTTTTTTTTTTTTTTTTTTTTAAATAAATGTATATGCTCAGAATAATTGTCTCTCTCTGGTATACCTGGTACCTCCGTAGTACCTCGATTGTCAGAATTAAACTCTCTTAGTTTCATCTGTCATTCTTACACGCGTATTTTTTGCTATATTTGTGAAAACTTGCAAAAAGAAACTTTTCTTTTCTGTCATCAGAAGTGTTTTAAGTTTTAATTTTTTACCAAATACGACGCATAAAACATTTTACCACAACAAATGTTTATGCAATAATGTGCCGACGATTCAATGTTTACATGGTCGATGTAAGAGTTGAAAATCTTACAGAGGAAAACAATTTCCTCTGCGATATTTTTAAGAATACGTTCATGTCCAGCATGCGACCTCAAACTGGTCTATACACGTATATATGAAAATCGCATTCGATTATCTGTCCTGCCATATAGGCCTATATTCATTATAATCACTGAGAAAATCACGCCGTCTGAAGCTTCTAGGAAATGAATATCTATTGATAGATGTAGATCCTATAGGAAAGAAACCGATCTCAAATAAAATTCTAATATTTTGAATAAAACTAGAGGACATAAAGATCCAGATATGAATTATAAATTTATTCATGAAATAGATTTCAGTGTTCAGAACTACGACAAAAGGTAGACTTGTCAAAACGAAAAAACACAGGGAAAAAAAAAATCTGCGTCACGCTCACCAACACTCTGCAACATCTTATTCTTTCTCTGTTTTAAAAATATTGCCACGAAGATCTTTTGTCATGGGTGTGATCATAATCACGCTCCTTATTCAGCTGTTATTCCGGAAATGATTACCGTAAATCTTCTTTTTTTTAAACATCACATGAGTCGATCACGTGACGCCTTGCAATCGCTTCCTTAAGATAGGTGGCCTCTTATTCCAGTTTCCCCTCAAAATAGCCAGTCAGTCAATAAATGAACAATATTTAACACTACAGTTAAATTAATTAATAATCAGAGAATAAAACAGATCATTTTCACAAAAGCTCTTCATGTGTATATATATTAATTCATGTACATTTAAAAAAATCTTACAGAATTTCAAAAAGGTTTTGTGCTTGTTTCTGTTCATACAAGTCAGTTAAATGTCACATACATTCATCAGTGTGCTGTTGTTAAATTGAAATTAAACAAACTCTTTTAATTGTCATTTGAAGAAGTAAAAGTGCCTCACTATATATTTTTAAAAAAATTTTACCCCCCCCCCCCCTAATAAACCAAACAAACATGCACATACTAAAGATGGTATGAAGGTTTAAAAAAAAGCCTAGAAAAATATTTCAGTAAGAATTTGTCAATAAATTCCACTTAAAAATTCTCTTTCATATGTTCAAGCAATGATCAGCAGTGTATTTATACTCCACCCCCACCCACCACAACCGGCAATACACTTGTTTAATCCGCAGTTAACTTACTTGCTGAAGTTATAAAAGTCTGGTAAATTTTAATTTTTTATAAAGCTGTCAAAATTTTTCTGTTATACACAGACACACAAATAAAACTGACAAGTTGACCAGAGAGGTGTATTGTATTACGCAGTTTGAAATCATGTCACAGCACAGGTGCCATGTGCATTGGAGCTTAACTAATCTCTATTGATCGTCTCCTGATAGTGAAATGCACGAGATAATCAAGCCAAGTAAAGTGTTTTTAGTTTTTACAAGACTAGCAATAAGGGCTTCTGCATGGAATCAAAATTTAAAAGGTGTGAAAATATCAATAGCCTTGTATTAGATAATATATGTATCCAGTGAACATTCTAAGTAATGATGAATGAATACCGTAATCTAGTTTTAAGAATTAATTTCTTAAGCAAATGGGAAAATTATTTATCATAATTAAATTCTTTTCATTTTTCAATCGTCGGTCTGCAAAAATAATTACCTGTAATTTTGAAAAATTGACCAAATGGTCTAGCAGGAGAATATATTTTTTCATTAACACAAACAGAGTTCAGCGTACCTAATTTTTTTAATTGCTTTAACAGGTTAAAGTTGACCAAGGAGCATATAATTATCCAAGCGAATGTGTTTAAAAGACTTGATAAATTCGCGGCAATGGATGAAATGGCCACCTATAACAGTGTAAATAAGGTTGTGGGTGAGGATTGAGTGGCCGCTGGTCGCATTACACAGGTGGCCATTTATTCCAGTTAAAATATATAGGAAAAATCATCGGGCGGAACTGAAAGTGGCCGCTGACCGCGAGTGGCCGTTGATTTCGAGTGGCCGCTAAGACAGTTTTGACTGTATAGTATTAGGCATCCATTTCTTTAATTAGTCTACCCTTTCAGAGCGTGGAGAATTTGATTTTAGTGAGTCTGGAATCATTTGTTTTAAAAATCATTTCGAATGTATTAAAATGTTTCAAAGATTAAGGAATACTGTTATTAGTACCGTATTCAATGAAACGGTATTTTACAGGTATTACTCTCTCATTGGGAAATTAGACTTAGATGTCAAATCAAATACTCTTATTGCCCAGCAGTGTTTTTTTATGTACAGAATAGGTTATTTTGAATAAATTCACAGTTCTTTAAAGTTTTTGTTTGTTTTTTTTCCTCCCTCCCTTGTGGGTTTTGAATTTTAGAGATGACGTTATAAGTAGAATTAGCTTTGGACAGCCTAAACAAATAAATGGATTGATTTCATCAAAAGTTCCAGTATATACCTCAATTAATGCCCTAAGGTTTGTACTGCATAGAATATGGGAATAAGGTGAATTCAGTCAGAAAAGCAATATAATAACATATTTATTAAAGTTTTAGAAATAAAATAAAAGTACTAGTACAACACTAACAGTGATCTATAGTTTATCTAACATTTTCTCTATGCAACATTTTATTTTTAATTAAATCAATTTTTAGCCAACATATTTTCCACTGTAAAAAGATGCCATACATCTATACATATACAAGTACTTGTAAAATTCCTGAGCCAGAAAATCTGCCAGAACATTGGTAAACTTGCTTCCTGCCACTTGTTGAGTGCTGGTACTTCCTAGGATTCTGTAGAGTCCAGCGTGTAGACGCACTACTGAGACATCAGTAGAGTCTCCCCCAAGGCGATACACTAATACATTACTACAGCAATGCAAAAGAAAATATCAAGTCACTGTAACAACAGTGAAATAAAAACCAATTTTAGAAAAAAAAACTTCATTTCTCAAATATACTACACTTTCATATACTGTAGAAGCACAAATTTTTGTGGGGATAAAATTTTGTTTATTTGCCATCAAAAAAGGTTTTGTGGGCATTAAATTTTGTTGTTACGAAAGTAACCCAACACAATATATATTGATAAAAAAATTTCATAAGGGATTTAATTTCATTGATAATTGTCAACTACGAAATAAATGAAATTAAATCCCCAACGAATATTTTTGCTTTTACAGTATACCGCTAAATAAACTCATTACACATTTGTTGACTGGGTGAGCGGGCAACATTCATTTTGTTGGACCCAAGAGGTTGTTAGGCCAAAAGCAAACAGTTTGGTTTTAGGAGTTCAACAAAATGCATTTTGCCCAAGAACACAGTCAATAAATGTTTTGTTAAATCTTTTACTTTTTATTTTGACCATATCTTGCGCTGGCTTCCATGTTTGCTATAATTAGTTAGAAATAGCTGATTCTGTCTATAGTGTGATGTAAAAAAAATCATAGCAGTCCAAATATCTTATCAACAGTTCCAATATCTCACTCAGCAGTCTAACATATTTTTCTTAGGACTGTTCAGAAAAACATTGTAAATGTTAGACATTTTAAGTATAGATTTATATGGGAAAAATACAATAGTAATTAGGTACTAAAAGCATGCCTCTTTTTGGCACAGAGTCACAACATTAGAATATCAGAGAGTAGATTCTCAGTAGAATTACCTTCTTCATGGATACACTGAACATATAATAGGAGAATGACTCTAAAAAAGATTTTAAGTGCCTCAAAGATTTAACAAGATTACTTGATGGTTAAAGTAGTGTAACAGTTTGAAATAACAGTGCGCCTGACCACCCGAGACACAATTTTGCAGCCGGCGAACAAATTTGCATGTATTGACACCCGCCTGGACGTGTTAAAAATATTCAATAATTAAAATTCATATTCTTGATAAAACTCTTTCATATCAACTAATAGTATCGGTAGCAAAGTGTAACAAGCCAAGAGGAAGAATTCATCAGTCTAGATAGTGTTTTGCTTTAAAAGTCACGTGGCTCTGCCTTTAATGAGAATGTTCAACCCAATTAATATATTTCTGTAGACAGCCAGTAGCAAACCTAATAAGTAATAATATACAAACCACTGTACAGTATTGTCTATTTGACCTAGGTCATATGCCAGCAAGGCTGCAACTGGTTCATTGATAGTCCGTAACACACTGAATCCAGCCCGAGAAGCACACTCTCTGTAATAGACAGAAATGCCACATAAGAACCAGTCACTCATCTAGAAAATGTAGTTCAGTTTCACCAAGCAAGCAAGAATTTTAAAAAAATTTTCCTATATATTCCTATGTAAAACTTTGATCGTCCATTGTGGCCCTACCCTACCCCGGGGGTCATGATTTTAACAAATCTGAATCTACACCATCTGAGGATGCTTCCATATAAACATGACCAGTCATGGCTTTGCTGTTCTTGAGAAGAAGATTTTTAAAGATTTTCCCTGTATATTCCTGTGTAATACTTTGATCGCCCATTGTGGCCCTACCCTACCCCTGGAGGTCGTGATTTTGACAAACTTGAATCTACACTACCTGAGGATGATACCACCTGAATTTTATCTTTCTTGGCCCAGTGGTTCTTAAGAAGATTTTTAAAAGATGGCATTAATTTTTCACTAATTTGTAATTATCTCCCCTTGGAAGAGGGTGTGGTCCTTCATTTGAAC